GGCATTTTGAAGGGAAAATATTCCATCCGTAGTCCTGTAACTGTGTGTGCATGTGCATTCACTCGACAGAAAGGAATAAAATCTCAGAGAACGCAGATATAGACATAGTAAGGCTTGGTACTTTCATATACAATACACAGTTGATTCTGAAAAGAACATTATATTCATGTACCTATAAATGGTCATGCCAATAGACAAGTATAAAATTTGTCCCCAAAAGTTAAAGATAGCCATCTGTGAGAATTTTAGAGCCAGAAAATTTGGAAGTCAACCATCCGTCAATATTCATAATAACACTTTGCTTGTATTCCGGTGTTTGTAATGTATTCACTATTCAATTAGTATAAATAAAGAGAAATTTAACCCCCTTCTCTTACTCTTTACAACTATGTGCAAAATGGGATAGGTGAGCGGAAGGTGTAGCTCCATGAATCTCAAAGACCAGGATGATTGAACATTTTACTATTGAAGTAAAAATATCACTCAGAAATACTGTGATCTTTCCAGATGGAACATGTGCTCACAACCCAAGCTGAATCAATGGAATAGATGAGCAGTGTAACAGAAGTCATCCTGTTGGGTCTCACTCAGAATCCAGAACTGCAGAAAATTTAATTTTAATTTTCTGTGGTTTTAATCACTTGCTTGATCATATTGACAAGTAACCTGTTCTTCTAGGTCATCATCTTCATCAGCCCAGTTCTGGGTTCTCCTGTGTACTCTTTTCTGTCCTGTTTGTCCATTTTAGATGGTTTCTACTCCTCTTCCGTAGCACCCAAAATGATCTTTGACTTGACATCTGAAAGAACACCATATCCTGCAATGGCTGCATGACTCAGTTGTTTGTGAACATTTCTTCGCTGGAACTGAGATCATCTTGTTAATTGTCATGGCCTATGACCACTAAGTAGCCATCTGTAAGCTCTTGCACTGTATGACCATCATGAGCAGAACTGTGTAGAGTTTCCTGGTGGGAATGCCTGGGGTTTTAGGATTTCTTCATGGAGGGATCCAGATTTTGTTCATCGTCCACTGACCATGCTGTGGACCTAATGTCAGTGACCATTTCATGTATGATTTAATAACCGTCCTGGAGCTGGCCTGCACAGACATTCACACTTTGGGGCCTCTGATTGCTGCCAACAGTGGGTCACTGTGTTCACTCATTTCTTCTATGCTGGTTGTTTCCTATGTCATCATCCTACATTCCCTTAAGACTCATAGTTCTGAAGGATGTTGCAAAGCCCTGTCTACCTGTGCATGTCATGTCACTGCTGTCATCTTATTCTTTGTATGTTTTTCATTCCTGAAGACCCATGACCTCCTTGCCCACCAACAAAGATGTGACTGTGTTTTCCACCATAGTAACTCCAATGTTGAATCCTTTTATCTACGCCTTCAGAAATGCAAAAGTGAAAAGTGTCATGAAGAAACTCTGGGGGAAAATAATAAAAACGGGAGATAAATAAATCCTGTGCTTGGAGTATTTAAACAAAAAAATCTAGTGATCTTCTGTAGATATTTATTCCCCTCATTAGTAGGAACAATCAATTATCCTGCCTGGATCAATTTTCTTCAGGAGCCCACATATTGTGGGCAGGGCTGATATATCCATTAAAGCATAGGAGGAACAGTGCCCAGGGCCCATCATAGTTTTAGGAGTCCCAGAAATGCTTTAATTCCTTTTAAAATAGGAATGAAAAATGAATATACTCCAAATCAAACTTGGAGTATAGTCATCTTTATACCATTGCAATCATAAAATATAATTTTTTATGGAGAAAAGTACGCATGAGGACAAATCTATCATAGGCCCATGAAAGTCATGATGTTGTCCTGGTTGTGGGTATGAAACTGATCAATAGAAATACCCCTGAACACTTTTTATACCCAGCACTACAGCTAGAATGTTTTATTTTAAAGGAGGAAAAATAACTATATGAATAAAGTAGAACAGTAGGGAAAGAGGTTTCAAGAAGTACTTTTATCAAAATATGATTTTTCTTATCTTCCTAAGTTTGAGAGGTTTATGAATGTTCTTCCACCGCAGCAATACTCCTTTTTTACTTATCATAATCCAAAGAACAGAGCATTTGCATACCAAGGTACTTTTAAAATTACATCTCCACCATTCCTTGTAGCATACAATTTTCTACAAAAAGATTTAGAATCAGAATTGGCTGCTGGAAAAGAATAACAGTTGAGAAAGTCTGTAGATTTAAGTTAGAAAATATCAGTACATTAAAGTCTTGTTTTAGACAGAAAAGAAAAGAGTCTGTAAACAAAACAGCTATGATAGAAAATTACCAGCTATGTAAGAACAAGTTTGTGTCATGGAACTGGACAACAGTGATCACAAATCTGGATTGTAGAAAATAGGTTACCAGTAGCCACATAACGATGAGCTGCAGAACAAAAATATCAAATACAGGTCTTCTCTTTTTACTCTGCAAGTATATTTTCAAAAGTACTTAAAATTCAGAGGCTGACATCATTTCTAGCCTTTATTCTTCTGTTTCCCTTTTCCCACTGGAGGGAAGGAAACTAACATTTACTAAACACCTAACAACCTGTCAGACACTATGCTCTTCATACACGTTTTCCTTTCATAAGGGTATAAACTAAGAATTAAAATGCCCATTTTTGGCCAAGGAAACTGAAGATCAGATAAGTTTATCTGTCTAAGATGCCCTGTAAGCTGAACAAAGAAAGAATTTGTAATCCAAAAGTAACTTTTAGGAAGGCGGAGCCTTAACCACGTTTATAGAAAAAGTTGAAAGAGGAGGTAGAGGAGAAGAAAAAGATGATGAGGACTAGAAGGACGTCTACCAAAATGTTGACGGTGATTATCTCTAGGTGGTGGGCTTATAGGTGAATTTACACACACACGCACCCCTCTATTTTCTTATTTATTACCCATCTTTATTTTTTTATTGTCTAAATTTTAAAATAAATATGTATTTTTTGGGAAAAATATTTTACATAGTCTCCAAAATGGAGAAACCATTACTTTTGTAAATGAGATTGGTAATAATTTTTAAATCATATAGAAAACTTCTGGTGATATTTGCTCATGTGTTTATCATACCAGGTTGAAATTTTTCAAAAATAAGCAGCATTAACAAGCCAGTTGGCCCCTTGTTAATCATGATTTGGACAACAAGAAATAAGGCCACACTAAGATCAGACCTTTATGCAATTTGATATTTTAACTGTACTAAAAACAAAGCTGCTTTTCAAATTTCAACTAAAGTAAGGAGGCTTTTCTAGGAAGTTTCTTTGATAAATTGTGGCAAGCTGGCAAAAAGATAGGCTTTTTTTGTCGCCTGAGCTAACAACTGTTGCCAATCTTGTTGGGTTTTTTCCTTCTCCTCTCCAAAGCCCCCAGTACATAGTTGTATAGTCTAGTTGTGAGTGCATCTGGTTGTGATATATGGGACACCACCTCAGCGTGGCCTGATGAGCAGTTCCATGTCTGCACCCAGGATCCGAACTGGCAAAACCCCTGGCCTCAGAAGTGGAGCACTCAAACTTAATCATTCAGCCACAGGGCTGGCCCCCTGATAGGCTATTTTTTAGTAAGTCTCATCATGATTTCATATTTCTTAGTTGGTTGGAAAATTGGCTCAATTATACTTTTATTATCTAACAGGAGAAATAAATAGGTATAGAATTCAAGGTCTCAGTTATACCTACCTATTACTAATTAGACTAACAAAATGGGACAGTGAAAGAAGACAAAATTTATTTTGTCTTATGCACCCCTATGTTCACTGCAGCACTATTCACAATAGCTAAGACATGGAAAAAATCCAAGTGCCCAACGACTGATGATTGGATAAAGAAGATGTGGTATATGTATATATACAATGGAATACTACTCAGCCATAAAAAAGACAAAATCATCCCATTTGCAATAGCAAGGAAGGACCTGGAGGGAATTATGCTAAACAAAATAAGCCAATCTGAGAAAGACAAACACCAGATGATTTCACTCATAGGTGGACTATGAACAAATACATGGACAAAGAAAACAGTTCAGTGGTTACCAGGGGAAGGGAGATGGGGGGTGGGCACAGGGGGTGAAGGGGAGCAGTTATGTGGTGACAGTCAAGAAATAATGTACAACTGAAATCTCACATTGATGTAAACCTTTATGAAAATTTAAAAAATTTATTTTGCCTAAGAACTCTGTAGTTGTTATTTTTGATAGACATAGACATTTGGAAGTAAAATAATTTCTTGATCTTCTGAATTTATTAGTTCTTGGAGACTAATTTTTGAATACATATATTCAATAAATTGCTTTTCATATTAATTTCCAATAGGCTTTTTCTTACTGTAAAAATTAGATATGCTGCAACATGGTGAATTACACATTATTTGTCAAACAAAGGATAAGTTTATTATATATCATGGGAGCCTATACTCTTAAAGGGTGAAGGCTTGGAAGGGATATGGTCAGAATTGTAAAACCAGGAAACAAATGGAATGAACATGGAAGTATGTTTCAGATTCCAGAACACTAGCATCCCTTGGAATTTGAAACAGAGTTAGGAAAAATACAAGGAAATATCATTTTGTATAATTGGCTAAAAAAATAAACCTTTCTACTCTAAGCTATATTTCAAACTTAGGAGAGAGAGAAAAGCAAAAGAAAACAGCCTCTGTGTGGAGGGTTAGGAAAGACTTGAGGTATGTATATAATAATTTCAAGTAAAACATATTGGGTGTATATGTGCAACACACTGGGTTAAGATCTTTACGTAGATTATCTAATTTAATTCTCACAATAACACTGTAGACACCTTTTTTTTTTTTTAAAGATTTTATTTTTCTCCTTTTTCTCCCCAAAGCCCCCCGGTACATAGTTGTATATTTCATTGTGGGTCCTTCTAGTTGTGGCATGTGGGATGCTGCCTCAGCGTGGTCTGATGAGCAGTGCCATGTCCACACCCAGGATTCGAACCAACGAAACACTGGGCCGCTTGCAGCGGAGCGCGCGAACTTAACCACTTGGCCACGGGGCCAGCCCCTGTAGACACCTTTTATGCTTGTCTTTGTCTTTATTTTAAAGAAAGGCAGCAGGGGCTTATAGAGGTTTGGTCATTTACTCAAGGTCATGCTATGAGTAAGCATGGGAAATAAGACTGAAGCTCAGGTTGATCTGTCTCCAGAACCCTCTCTGCCACAGTGTAGCAGCTATACCACTGAAGTCATAAAGGGTGATGAGAAGGGATAGAAGCCAGGCCTATATGCACAGGGACTGCTATATATGGCTAAGCATGAAGTTATTTGCCTTAAGTTTCATTTTGCCTAATATTTCTACTACTCAGTTAATTATCGCACAGACTCAAATCACATCAACATGAATTGCTATTTAAAGGTCTAGATGATGGATCAAAAATAACTAATTTTGAGTTTTGGTTTAGGTACTTCAAAGTTAGATAACATTGATTAATCAATTAACCACACCAGGAGACACAATTTTCTCATATCTAAAACAGGGATATAATCACATGCCATATATATTTCATATATTTTTTATAATCAAATTATGCAATTCAAGTAAAAATTCTAAGTAAACCATAAAAGTCTTTGAAGATGAAGGAACGGATAAGGTAGAATAAGATGAAATATAATAATAGGAAAAACAAACATTGGTTTGCTCCACTTACAGAAATAAACTCATTTTTTTTCCGGCTTTACCACTTATCGTCTACCTGCAATTTCTTACTGTGTGAAAAGCTTTCTCATCGCATTTTTTACCTCTTTGTTTCTCAGGGTATAAATGAGTGGATTCAACATAGGTGTCAAAATACCGTAAAATACTGCCATGTTTTTGTCTATAGATAAAGTAGATGTTGGACGTATGTAAGTAAATACACAGGGCACAAAGAACAAGGCAACGACAGTGAAGTGGGCCCCACAGGTGGAGAGGGCTTTACGTCTCCCTTCTGCACTGTGGGACCTCAAGGAGTGCAGGATGACAATGTAGGAGGCAGCCAGCATGAGGAAGTTCAACAGGCAGATCACACCACTGTTGGCGACCACCAGCAGACCAATGACATATGTGTTGGTACAGGTGAGTTCCAGCAAGGGGTACAAGTCACAGACAAAGTGGTTGATCATGTTGGGCCCACAGAAGGGCAATTGACGGACCAGGAGGAGCTGAACCAATGAATGCAGGAAGCCCCCCAGCCAAGGCACCCCCACCAGCAGGGCACAGAGATGCCTCGTCATGATGATAGTGTAGTGCAGGGGCTTGCAGATGGCCATGTAGCGGTCATAAGCCATCACTGTGAGCAGAATGATCTCAACACCTCCCAAAAAATGGGCTCCAAAGAGCTGAGCCATGCAGCCTTCATAAGAGATGGCTCTCCCCTCATACAAGGAGTCAGCAATGAGTTTGGGGGTCATAGAGGAAGAATAACAGATGTCAATAAAGGACAAGTTGCCCAGAAAAAAATACATGGGGGAAGCAAGTGTGTGACTGGAGGTGATGGTGACCACAATGAGCATGTTGCCACAAACTGTGACCACATAGATGATCAAAAAGACTACAAAGAGAACTCTCTGTACGTCTGGGTTCTGTGAGAGTCCTAGCATGAAAAATTCTGTGATTTTGTGTGGTATTTCCATAGATTCCAAGAACACTGAGAGTGCAGGTACAATATTTCCTATAAAGTCAAGAGAGAAACATAATTGTAACAATTTATTTCAGGGGTAAAAGGTTGTAGTTTCTCTCAGTTATAACCACTTCCCTTTGTCTCTCTTAATCATTTCTGTTCCATAATTCCTGTACCAATTCATTCTGCTAACCACAAAACATGAGCATATGTCTATCTATTAATTTTAGCATCACTGGGCACCAAGTATCCAAGTTATTACAGGAAAATAATAATTTAGTTATCTGAATTTTAATTTCTTTTGTTACTACTGAAATTGAAAACTCAGAAGAGATTTGTTTTCTAATTCAACTGGAGTGCATCTCTGACAATTTTTAGCACAGTTCCACATAAATACAATGGCACATGAGAGAGAAGATTCCCGTGTTGATCAGGAAGCTGCCCCCTTTTTCTCTCTCCAATCTTTATTGCAGGATAAATACAACTCCTGCAAGTGACAAGTCTGATGGGGATCTTTTCAGAGTAAAACATTATGGCCAAGAGCATAGACAGCAGTAATAAGAGCAAACACCTGTGTAGCACTTGGTCTTTGCCAAGCACTGTCCTGGCTGCTTCACATATGCCAATTCATTCAATCTTCACATCATCCCCATGGAGTAGATTGCTATTTTTACCCTCATTTTGCAGAGGAAGAAAGTGAGACATGCATTTAGCAACTTACATAAGGATATTTAGCTAATAAATGGCAGAGCTAGGCTTTGCACCCAGGAAGTCTTGCTAGAGCTTTACTGTACTGTACTGTCACTTAAACTCATCTGGATTTGAATCCTTCCTCTGCCACTTATTGGCTGTGTAATCTTGGACAACTTCTCAAAGCCTTAATGTTCATATATATAAAACAAAAATAAGAGTACTCCCCCACCCTGAGATTGCAAAGAGAAGCAAATGAAAACAGTGCATGTCAAGTGTTTGTACAGAGCCTGGATGTGATAAACATTCAATAAATGGCATCTCTGATGTCGCCAACATCAACAGCTTGGGCAATAAACTCTTCCTGTGGCTTAAGGAGCCAAAGACCAAAGTGTATGCATCCAAGACTAAGGAGGTATTGATATGGGTATAATTTTATTATAAATATGAAAAATGCCCTAATACTGATCCCCACACAAAATATAAGAGAGTAGAGAAAATGCAATCAATATGAATAGTATACAGTTTAGCCAAATAATGAATTTATGTGCCCCAAAATAAAAATGTTAAGCTGGTTTATCTCTGTGATTCCAATTTGGGGGAATACGATATAAATTATTTGTTAAAAACTAGTAAAGAAGTCTCCTTTTTGAGTTATGCATGAGAAAATTATTTTGTGGAAAGCAATGAGAAATTTAGTAAAATTATTCTACTATATCTTTATTTGAGTTGCATTTTTCTTTTATTTAATTTTTAAAATTATAGAAAACTTACATTGACTGGATCTGAGGACACCAACAGGTCACCAGATGTTTTGTTTGTTTGTTTCTTAACATCATGGAATAGTGGACCTGAAAGAGTTCTTAAATGTCATCTAGGACAAATCCAAGCATAGCATCCAAATTTCGCTGTTTCACACTATTAAACTCCTGGATGAGATTTAAATTGTTTTTTACATTGAGGCAAAGCACAGATGGGGCAATTGCTTCTGATTACAGAAATTCGTCTGAGCTGAAAGTTTCTTAGACTAGTACGGTGAAAACTCAAAAGGGAGTCATCCATTTACCAGCAGCTGAGAATTTGTTCCATTATCCATTTCCCTTTTATTTGCTGAAAAACTCCATGACACTTAAAATCATCTTTTCCAATTGTCTCCAGTTTAAAGATGGTGGATTTAAGACTCAGAGAGATTAGGTGCAGCTGATCCAAAGTCACATGGGTGATTCATGGCAGTGGTGAGGCTGGAACCCGGGCTGCTCATTGCTCCAGCCTGTGCCCTTCCATTAACTACTTTCTCTGTTTTTGACAAGAAAAGCCCTGCTGCTGATATTAGGGAAGGTGTTAGAGAAGGAGTAGCTGGCTTGTGAGCTCTGAATTCTGCTAATACCTATCGCACAGTCTCAGAGAAAATCGTTCTCCTTCCACTGGAAGGAGTTATTCATAAGGTGGGAGTGATGACACAGTAATTATCAGTGCCATGTGCTTTCCATCTCTCCGAGGGAGGCTTATTCTATCCTCACAGGATCACTTGCCAAATCAGTGTTGGAATTAGCTTTTCCTTGTTCACAGGTTAAAACAATGTTGATGCCATCATTTAAGTATTCCCTCTGAATACAGTTTTGGTCTCAAGAGAGTGATTTCTATTCTCCCTCCTAGAAGTGCCCAGTGTCCTTCTAATGTCTAGAGAGAGGGTCCATAAATTGTCTTCTGTGTTATAGGCATGGATCCTAGGCTCTTTCATATACATTATCTCTTTCATCTCCCCCCATAAAGTGGAGAGAAAAGTACCACTGTCCTTTACCCATAACTCTACGTGTGGTGCGCTGGAAAATCAAGAAAATTAGAGTCAGAATGACCTGAATTGAAATTATACCTCCACTATTTCAATCATTCAATAAGTATGTTTTCAGAGCCCACCTAATAAAAGATAGTACTTTGCTAAGTGGCAGGAATACCACAGTGAATAAAATAGACATGTTCCCTGGTAGTACGGGGCTTATATTCTAAAAGTGGCAGTAGCCACCTCCAAAACAAATAGAACAATTACAAAATCAAATACATGGAATTCCTGGCTTCATATATTTTAAATATTTTTAATGCTGATAAATATTAACAAAGGTGTACATGTTTAATACTTATCAATATAAGCAGCAAATTTTCTCCATAAAATTTGTAACCATTTACATTTCCAACACTCTTGCCTGTCCAGCACGTGTGTACAGCAATTCTCCAGTACTGAATGAATCCTATTCTAAGCCTTCTCCAAACCTGTTCCCTGAGAACTTCTAGAAAACATCACAAAATAGGGAGCATTTAATCCACCACAAATTCATGTCACCGACTTCAAGAGGCCCATCAACATGGCCCAGCAATCCTACTATATTTCTTTAATCAAAGACATTGTCCCAATTCTCCTCAAAAACACTTAAAATCTTCAATTTCCTCAGTTCTACTTACTGTACACACACTTTCCCAATTCTGGCTTACTGTTATACATTCCTCAAAACTAGGCTTAGATATCATCTGCACAAGGAAGATAATCTCTTCCTCCACCCTAGGCTAAATTATAAGAATTTCTACTGGGGCAGGCCCGGTGGCAGAGCAGTTAAGTTCGCACATTCTGCTTCGGCGGCCCGGGGTTCACCAGTTCACATCCTGGGTGTGGACATGGCACCACTTGGCAAGCCATGCTGTGGCAGGCATCCCACATATAAAGTAGAGGAAGATGGGCACGAATGTTAGCTCAGGGCCAGTCTTCCTCAGCAGAAAGAGGAGGATTGGCAGCAGATGTTAGCTCAGGGCTCTTCTTCCTCAAAAAAAAAAAAAAAATTTCTACTGTATTCCTATAATGCACGGATTGCATCTCCATCCTAGCTCTTTGTACAGTCTATTGTATAGGTCTCCCTTCACACTCCCACCCTACACTTGGAGTATCTTGAAAGCAGCAATCCCTTGTGTTCGTTATGCATATTGCCAGACCTAGAGCTGTGCTCAATAAGTATTTGTTGATTAATAAAAAACTAAAACCAAAAACTATAGGAAACATACAACACCTGGATCTAAGGAGTTTGATGCGTTCTTATCAGAATTTTTATTACATTCTAACATGGCAGAGTGATAGAACCATTAGGATTCTTAACAGGTCATCTGGTCCATCCTTCTGCATCATCTTGTCTTCCTTCCCCTGCTTCAAATGATGTCTGTTAAATGCCTTGATAGGATTAAAGAAAATTCCTACAGGAAGAAAAAACTGCAGTGAGAAACTGTATGGTTTCATAATCACTCACTGACTTAGAAATCTCCCACAATCCTAAGTGATCTGAACTCAAAACACAAATAAGAGATCTCATCCATTTATGGGCTACAGGGGACGTCTCGAACCATCACTTTCCATTTTCTTTGCTGGAAAGCCATTAAGAACAATGATTTTTCTGATAATCTGGTGCAAACATCTTTCATTTAAAAATGCTAGCATTTTGACCTAGAAATACGAAGTAGCCAACCCAAGTCATAGAAGCTAAATTGTGGGAGATTGAACAAAGACCCCATGTCTTCTGACTCCTCGCCTGTACCCGCCTCCTACACCTTAATGTATCTTCTCAGAATCCAAATTCCTCAGCCCATGGAGAGGACAAAGGGAACAGAAGGAAGAGAAGATTACGAGCTCTGGTTTTGCCAAGGTTGTAGATCAACAGATGCTCTAAAGAAAAGGGGGAAAAAGTTATTGCAAAGATAACTTATGATGATTACACAGTTTAAAAAAATTTAAAGGAGGAGAAAAAATTCCTCTTAGTACTGCCATCAAATAGAAAAACTTAGCAAGTTTTGAATGTATTTTTCTTCCATTCTTTCTTCCACATACATATTTTTGTTCATTTCTCACTTATACTTTTGAAATCATACCATATATTTAATATATTATCCTGATTAATATTATAATGTAAACATTTTCCATATCATTATAAACTCTTTAAAAGCATTGCTTTTAATGATTGTATATTATTCTGTCAAATCGATGTATCTAATCATGAGTCATTGTTTCAAATATCATGAAGAACTTCATTGTGCATGAGTTATTTCTGGGTCCATAGGATAATTTCTCAGATGTATATACAGAAAAGAGGGGTATAGATATTATAAAGACCCTTGACATCTCTCACCAAAAGGGCAGTCCCAATTTACATAGCTATCATCAATATGTAGTAGATTATTTCTTTCACCTTAGCCGGTAATGCATATTACTGGCCTCATTTTTTGGGGGGGAGGGGTTTGCTAAATTTCATCTTTCTTTCTTTCATATTTGTTTGACCACTACTGATGTTAAAAAACTTCCTATGTTTTTATATCCAACATATTCTTTCCTTTGGAATTTGTTAAAGCTATAAAGAGTAATTTAGAGCGAACTGAGGAGAAACTTAGTGGATGATCAATGTTTCCCAATTGCAGCCTCTTAGATGCCAACTCTTGCAATTTCTGGCCAAATCAGTTGTTGGAACTGGTAGAGAAAATTTTAAGTCCATCTAATTGGCCAGTTTGAACGTGTAACTCAGTACTTTATTGACCACCATAACTGTTTCATCATTACAATGGAACTGAAAAGTAGGTTTTATTTTCCTCTTCATAGATGATG